AATGTTGATGCCGCCACCGCAACAGACCACACCGAGTCGATTTATGGGACATGGTGGATTCAGCGGAACTCCACCGCGATCACAAGGTCATCTCCGATACTACCGCCTTTTCCGGAGACGGGAGGCTTGGCACTATCGGACATAAGACGCCTCGCATGAGGACACCGCAGCAACTGGGTGTGCAGCGTCTCATCGCAATTCGCCAAACAGAGGAAATAGGCGACCGAGAGAATTTTACCGTCACTGGACCTAACTTGGACGAGACTGGACCAGACGGATTACGACTTACGCCCCCAGGTGAACCTTCAATACATGCATACGCACCGAAACTCCCTTTGGATTTGAGCGAAAACGATGCACGCTTAAATATGGTTCCGGATAAGGACGACAAACTGACAGAAAAGGATTTGAAGCTATCCGGGAATTAAACCGAAAGTGTCGTGAACTTTACCGAATTCATATGCGAGTTGAAGATGAACACGCATGGTATGGAAAGCTGATTAGCCTGGAAGCTGTCATCAAACCATGTCATATCGCACTGAAGGAAAAGACAAAACTGATCGAAAAAGAGCGCAGGGGAATACGCGATAAAAGTTGCGTCGATGTGGCAATACCATCCGTCGCTAAACGGTAGACCATGGCTTCGACTATCGAAAAAAAGATCCTTCGATATCTCAAGGTGTTCCCAGAAACAAGACAGACACCGACTACCAGCGTCAGGACCATCTAAACCCAGAGCTGAAAAAGATGCGGTTGATGGGAAATGACGGACGAGGACCTTTTGGCCACAAAGCAGAGGATTGATGCCGTATTAACGGAACGAGCAGAAAAGGTCACGGGCCAGCTCGGTTGCAGGATCAGGACGTGGACGTACTAGCTCCGGTCACAGAACCATCAGTGGCACCACGAGTGGAAAAAGAGTGAGATCACCGACGACAAGCCCAAAAGAAACTGATAAGAAAGGGCAGCGAACAAAGACCACAGAAAGCAAAGCAACGCCAGCTGAGCCGGCAAGCCACAGGCCCCGATTCAGTGGGTAGAAAGAGTGTACCACCCACGCCGAAAGGAACGAAGGTCAGATTCGATTCGAAGTGTAGAAGTTCACGGCCAAATACACTGGGAAGATCATAAAGAACGAAAGGTCACTGCACGGAATAGTCGATAAGAAAACGAACAAAGAGATCGACTCGTATAATCCCCCTCGCGGATAGGTCAGTCAAGGATGCCATTGGGAAAGAGAGTCAAAACGATAGTCAATGAGGCGCTACAGTTTATTCCTCAGAAGAACGTCATAACCCAAGAGTTATCGTTCAGATGATGAAGCATGTGGTAGCTAAAGTTGCAACCGAAGAAGATGCATGGATCCGTATCAAAGTGGGCACAGATGATGACCACTTGGCATATCTACACAACGGACGGCAACTGTTGATCAAAGAGAACTCGCTCAAAACCGACGGCGGATCAGATCCGAAGAAACGATCGTCAGATGATTATGAGTCGGTCGAGGATATACAGATGCGACAAGCAGAAAGGTCACCCTCAGACTTTTCGCTGACAATGGAGAAAACTGGGAAACCATAACGCAGTGATAGTGGACCCAATAACAGGAGGCCCGGTCCCGCCCCATGGGATGTATCGAAGAGCGCCCGAAACGCAGATCAGGCAGCTATTGACCAGCTGGGATCTGATACCTGAAAGCGACCGAAAAGATGCCGTGGTTCAAGCGGCCTCATCAGCATGATGCGGCATGGCGGACGGAGATCGATGGAGCACATTTCCGACTGACAAGACGAATGGAAGACGGGTCGTACAAAACAGGTATTTTACGACGCTAAGAAGAACCCTACCATAACTGCAGATAGTCGACCCAATAACAGGAGACCCGGTCCCATATGCCCCATGGGATGTATCAGAAGAGCGCCCGAAATGCGAATCAGGCAGCCATTGACCAGTTATGGATCTGATACCTGAAAGTGACCGAAAAGATGCCGTGGTTCAAGAGCACACTGATCAGCATGATGCGGCATCGAGCGGAGATCGATGGAGCACATTTCCGACTCACAAGACGAATGGAAGACGGATGTACAAAACGGTATTTTACGACGCTAAGAAGAACCTTTGTGGGAGGTCGCCTCACAGGATCTCCGAAAAGACAAGACACTTGAAATTCATCCCCGGCACAAGAAGGCGGAGCCGGAGAGACGGAAGAGGCGCAGGGCACGTCGGCAAATCTAACTGAAACAGGAGGGGCCAGACGTTCGCTACAAAGAGTATTAGAGATTGCCCAAGGAATTCATGAGCACCTTCAGTGTGATGAACCAAACTGTGGCCATTGTAATCCACCTGGTGACGACGAACCAGAGACGGAAGACGATAACCCACCTGAGGAAGAAGGATCAGACGAAGAAATGGCCGACAAGCATAAAAAGCCCTCAAAAGCAAGCCCTCAAAGTCAAACCGAGAAAAGCGCCCAGATTGGAAGAGGCCATGAACCGTGACAAGGTTAAGAAAGGCGATTTCTCAAGAAACGACGGAGAAGAAGATAAGAAGAAACGACAGGAGGAAGAAGATAAGAAGAAGAAGAGCGGTGACGAAAGATAGCACAAGCACCGGGAAGAAGAAAAGAGATGAACCAGCGTCTCATGACGTTGAGATATTGGACGAGTCAGTCGGCGAAGTTGAAGAAAGGTCATCGACACCTACGAAGTCAAAGAAAGTTATTCAATCGGCTACAGCAGAGCCATCAAAACTCAAAGGAAAGGTCATAGCGGTGAAACAAGCTGTCCCCATTGTCATTTCCGCATCCACGCCAAAGGAGCGCAAGGACAAACAGATTCGCGAAAAAGCGAAACGGGAGACGTCGCGTGAATCGGAGGCATCGGAAGTGAGCCTTCCAAGCACTTCGACGGTTAGTGCGAGGTCACACACGGACTCGAAAACGACACGATCAAGAACCACTGAACCAAGAAGAAGCGGAAGTCTGGATAAAGGGAAAAAAGCAAAGAGCGAACCCGTTAAGGACGGTTAATTACACTGAACCAGATGGAGAGGAACTGGACTTCACTCAGACGAAGAATTTGATGGTCCCGATGATGATAATTTGAACACGGTCGATGAAGTAATCAGAGCGTATAACGGAGCTGAAAAGAATTTCACACGAATAAGAACAGCATCGGTGACATCCAAATTTCAGCAGGCCTGAAGACGATTTGAAGAAACAACATCGTAGCTTCACTAAACAAAAGTTCGACGTCGTTGGAATTCGCGCGGAACGCAGGAAAACTTATACAGAAGCACCGAGAGTTTTCGTATGAGGCCGTTGTTCAGACCAGCCAGTTCGGATAAAGCGCTGACAACCCGAATGAAGCGGTCCCAATGCGAGTAGAAAGGGCAATCGCGGGAATGACAAGCCCATTAGGGTCAACAGATCCACCGGACAATACATCAACGCGCAGTTTGGAACGACGGAAATGGAATGATAAAGAGATCGACACGGCAGCCGAGCGCGTATTGCCAAGTTGATTAAACAGAACGTCCTTGCCACGACAAACGCACATAAAGCGACAACGGATCCGATACACGAGAGTCGGTCTAATACCACCGGAAAGACAGATCCACTGTAATATGTCCGACAGTCAGGACATGGAAAAGGTCACAGTTTCATCGAAGACAAAAGGCCCAATGGATTCGGAATCGGAAAGCGACGACACGCTACTATAACGGCTCCTTCTGGACTTACGACAGAAAAGATGAACAGTCGAAAGGTCCGAAGACATCTGAAACTACCGCAGAAGTTCAACCGAAAGGTCATGAAGCTTCAGACAAACGGGAGAAGAAAAGGTCATGCTCCCGATGGATAAGGCAGCAGCAGAAGCTGAAGCGGATTCGGCGCGACAGGTGTTTCTAAATCACTGTTCATACCATTAAAGGAGGTCTTTGAGAAGGAACGATCGAAATCGGTCGGCGATCTAAAAGGTCAAGAGACTTTGCCGCAAGAGGAAAAAGAAGACAGTTGAACAAAATCGGCGGGGTCATCATCAGGATCACTGGCAAAGCTGAGGATCGACGAGAACAGCGACAGCTGACCCAACGGACTCGACATCCTCCCAGAAAAAATAGCGGTACACCGGCAAAGGAGGCTACAGATTACATGTTAGGACCGGCATTGGACGTGAATAATCGTACATGGAACGAAGTCCAGAACGCTCCCAGATCATCCGAGAAAAAGATGCTTGGTACAGATCTGAAGAGACAAGTGGCAATAAATTCAACGGAAGGTCGTCACTTAACATGACTGAACGAGTCTTGAAACGAGCTTATAAGGAAGGAAAGTTGGGATGTAAATATAACAAGGACAACAAAGTCGTCTACTACCTTCCGAAACAGGGCACGGAACGAACGCCCAGACTGGAAAATGGAACTGGAGGCCTGGAAGATAGCCATCACAGATGGGAGCTCTGGACGCCATTGGCGTGCTCAATGGCGCGTCATGGCATGACCTTTCGAACTTCATGGCCGTCAATGATACGATTGGAGATTTGAATATTGAAAGCGATAAAGAGTGGATTAAGAATGCCGTTGAAGCCTTGATCGCGGACGAAGTGCTTCATATTAAGCCAGATGGCCGAATCGATTTCAAGCCGTATAAACCATCGACGAAAGAATCCGAGTGAACTAATCGAGTGTAATATGCAGCGAGTAATGAACCCTGCATATTACAGAAAAAAGCATAAAACAGTTTAAAACGAAAGAAAAAGCGTTACGAAAGGTCAACTGAAAGCAGTACTAGGACTAATAGAAAAGGTCACAGCAGTAGTCAGAAAGTGCTGATAACGTGAGAAAGCGTCACCACGTTTACAGTGATAGAAAAGGCAGCAGGAGCTAGGAAAAGTCTCAGCCAGCAACGGAATAGGCGTAAAATGATAGAAAAGCCTTGATATGGATAGGAATGGAAAGGATTAACGTGGAAGTTAATATGACGGATTGTTTTATAATTACAGATTGAAGCGGAAAAATGGCACAGAAAGGTCAAGCCACTCCTAAACGTACGGGAACGGCGGCAGACATCGATCAGTTTACGGGCTATAATCCGAAATGTCCCGACTGCTTAAGGAACAACAAAAAGGTTGATAAGAAATTCCCTTGCTACACTTGTATTCACAAGCTTGAAGACCACATGCCGCTCACGCTTGTTGGGATCATGGAAGCGAAACGAGGGAACTTGGACGTTTTTCGAAATCTCATAAGCGCAAGAAATTACGGCAGCATCCCAGTGGAAGAGCGAATGCTACTCGAGGATCGCTACCGGGAAGCGATCCGGAACAACGAACCTGGTTGGGATGACACCTTGGAGCCGTTGAAGTGTCCACAGACAGACGCGTATCGGAAGGAATTCGAAGAGGACCAGGAGAAGATGCGAGTTCAGCAAATGGAAGACGAACTCCGCGCGAAAATTAATGCGGAAAATAAGAGAGCAAGTGAACAGGCTGCACGAGAGGGGCTGCCCAGCACATCGAGTTTAGTTGCACCTACGGGCACGGCCAGCCTTAATGAAGACGAAATGCAACTCGTACGACAGTCGCTTATCATTCAAATTGAAACGTTAACGAAGGATCCAGCAGCTATGTCAGACGAGGTATTCAAAATGTTGTTGCGGGAGAAGAAACGACTTCAAGACGGGTTCGCGCCGGCACCCTACATAAAGAAGGAAGTCGAAAGACGTATGGATGACCTACGTAAATCTCACCGAACCGAAAGCGATGTGCTGCAAGCACTCAAGAAGTTTTAAACAGGACGAAGGTTTCATTCGACCTCGATCGCCTCCGCATAGAGAAAGTCACGCGGACATTCTCGTGAAAGGACACGTGACTACACGTGACTACCACAGTGAAAGGTCACGCGAACGCTCCCGCGACAGGGATTACCGTGGCGGAAGAGGATGGGTACGCCACGGCGATGAAGTAACAGAGATGAGCATTCAGAGGAAGATCGACACAACGAAGTTATTGGCAGCGACCAGAGAACGTGAAGAAAAACGGCGTGCGGAGACATTCCGTACAGAACCTGAAAAGGAAGGACATCAGGTGCCGACGGAAGTTGCTTTCCGTAATCGTAACGTCAGGATGTCAACACCCGAAAGGTCATGGGATAAAAGACGCGAACATACGCGAAATCGAACGCCTGACCCACGCGATAAAAGATGGCAACAGAGGCTGCATTCTACGCGACCTTTGACTCAGGCGCAAGCAAAAGGTCATCGAGTGCGGAGAGGAAGATTCACCCCAAAATATCAGCGAATGGAGTCAACAGTTCACGTAGTGGATCCATCGTGAGTACCGTACAAGAAGATGACGCGATGGAAGGCACTGGCTCAGTTGTCGAAACCACGTCTCAAGAGAATGTGACTCACCGACGAAATGTAATCTTGGATAGTGACCTTCAACCGGCTTCATCGACGAGTAATGAACCGTCGCAGCCAGCATCAGCAGACCGACGCGAACTGGAAGGTCAAGGCGAACCGGATAATTGTCGCCAAGGTGATCAGCGATTAAACTCCAGATTTAATAACCGACAACCAGAAAGTATTGACATGGAATACAAGACGACTGATATCGATGAGCAAACGGTCGAAATTTGTCGATACTTTGGACTTGAGCCGGATTCGGTTGAAGCCAACAAATTGGCACAATTCTGACAGCTGAGTCAATTCTTACTTGACTCAGGTTACGCGAAAGAAATTAAAGAGGAGTGGAACAAGGACTTTTCGCCGGTTATTCATCCACCGCGATTCGGTACGGGACTGTTATCTCCTATCAGACAGAATGGGCTACACAGCTTAGTGGATTTGAACTTATTGGATGTACCATTGGATACAACTGACCCAATCGGAATGACACAGTTTTATTATCGCGATTATCCTGAACGACAGGAATATGTGGCTCAGTTTGTTCTACGCTACGTGAATCCGGCTTTCAAGTTGCTCGCAGCCAGAGCATCAGTAGGACTTCAGGTGGATCCGAAAGACTATGCCGCAAAAAGGATGGGGCAAAGGTCTTTTGCCACGACTGGCACATTACAAGACACAGAACCAGCTGGTATCGAATACGATGAGAGACGATATCCCACCGTTTTTCCGACCTCACGTCGCTAAATTGGGACAACCGTTGGAACACATCAGCATAGCCCATAATGCTCGGAAGGCGCTGAAGAAATGTAAGACACGGATGGAAAAGGGCAACTTGACACAGCGCCATGCCTCGCAAGTTGAAGAGAGGATCAATAAGATCAAAGATTCACTAGGAAGTGACTATGTGGAACCGGTAGACGGAGTCGAGACTTACATTGATGAATTCTTGGTGAAGAAAAGTGACCGTCGTCCGGAACGTGCTCCTAACCAGATGGGACGACGTGGTATACGGAACCAGCAACTCCGAGATAATCTCGCTGACGTACAACGGCGACTGGCAGCTGACCCTAATAACCGAAGACTGCGGTTAGAGGAGAACGACGCACGGCACCAACTTGAGAGAGTTAAGCGAAGCCGCCAAGGGAAAGGTCGTGGCCAGCGCCATGTTGACCCGGTAAAGGTCATGGAAGTTGACTCGACGGAACCAGTTGACCGAACTTCCGATCGAAACCAACCGGAAAGCGCTAAGAAACGCCCGCCGAGAGATGGTGAGGGCGATTCAAATGAAATGGAATAGTGTTGACCTTTAGGATCACACTATTGAAAGGACGTCTACGGCATTTTGTCGGTACGTCACAAAAATGAAAAACGGTGTTGTATAAAGGGCGTGATATGTGACATGTTAACATTAATTGTATTTGTGTATTTGTCGTTTGCAGCATTTATAGCACAGAATTGCCTAAAGAAATCATGTGGAATACTATTGGGGTTGAAATTGATTCGGTCTATAAAGCCGGCTCCAAGGGAGTTGCTACGGCAGTTAGCCGGCCCTCCTCTCTAAGCGACTCAGTGTTATAAATGCACAAGAGAAACAACGGTAATCAAGCCGGATCTCTTGCATACGAAACGGGGCCACAAGCGGCGAAAAAGAGAAAAGACAACAGGTGGAATATTGATGAGGTTAACTTAATGCGGCAATCAGCCGGCCTCATTAGAGTTGTTACGGTAAACTATGCCGGCACTCTCTGTAAGCGATTCAGTGTCAAAATTAAAACGAGAAAACTACGGTAACCAAGCCGGATTTCTCGTAGTAATGGATGTTAGCCACAAGCGGCGAACAAGAGTAAAAGATTTAAGGTGGAAATTTCATGGGGTAAACTCAATGCGGTAACTAGCCGGCCCCATCAGAGATGCTACGGTAAACTTGCCGGCACTCTCGCCGCTCGAGGCATACTGAAGTTGGATGTGCGACGGAAAGGTCAAACTGCAAATTTTACCAGGGAGGCAAGCGAAGAAGTGCTTGAAAGCTGCAGAAAATTGGCTAAGTTCCTCCATGACCTTTAATGGGAGTTTTGACGAGTGGGATGACCTTTGGGATCATCAATTGCCCAATAGAGTCACCGTATCGGAATTCAAGTCGCATGACCTTTGGGACCATTAACCCAAAACGAGTCGCACATCTCAACGGATCATCTCAACAAAGGATGACCTTTACTAGGGAGGAAGCGGACTACGCTTGTCTTCAAAGACGTCCCTCCATGACTTTTATTGGATCTCATTTTGAAGTCGTACGAATGATACGCACCATATTCCAAAGATTGAAGCAGTATTCCTAAGTCGTACTTGATACGCACCTGATTCTCAAGCGGATTGTGATGAAAAGTCGCATTATGGATGCGCGGCATTGCTCAACAGAGCGGAATGGGCCAAAGTGCGGAAAACGGTGGACAGGACCTGTGACCTTTACGAGTCAGAAATGGAGGATCCTAGTCTACATTTTGCATTTGGATTAATACTTTTGTTGATCTGTTTAACTGTTGATCTGTTTTCTTATAGTATTTTTTTATAATTGGATCTCTTTATTCACATCGTATTAAATGGAATTGTGCCTTATGGAATTGATGTGATATGATAAATGGATTAAGAGAATTGATGTTTTTGAGCGCACACAGACACCGGCGACCGTCGTCTTCTCGTGGATCCGGGAGTGTGTCCAGCCTCACAGGAGCTCGGCATCCCCCCAGAGGCATGTGAGACCGGGATCACTAGCGTTCACGTCAGTGGCGCTACGCCTGTGGCGCTACGCCTTTGGATTACGTGTCTGTGTTGTGTCTCTTGTGATTGGCTTGCGTTCTGATAGTGGGTGCGGTAGCTGCACAGCGTTGCACGCTGTTGAATTGGTTTCGTTTTACGATCGAGCTGTTGAATTGGCTCTACGTTTTACGATCGAGCTGCGCCGATCACTTGTTGATTTTCTGTTGTGCAGACTTTCAATATTAAAAAGTCAGCAGTTTACGGTGCGACGTTTTGTGATTTCGCAATAGTTCGCAATCCAGATCGTATTGCTCACTTCCACGGGATAGATTCCGTTTCTGTCTCCGTCTGTGGATCTGTTCTGGATCTACCATTAGACCTGCTTATCTGCATTGTTCATGACAAGCTGAGCAAAACAGTCAGCCACAAAAAAATCTAATGAAATTTCAAATGCAGTTAGCACTACGGCGATTTCTATCATTTCACAGCTAAGATACTTCGACTATAATGATCTATAATGATTTTCGCCCATATCCTTGTTGGTGACTGCGTCACCATGAAGCCCCTCATGGTTCTAAAACTAACGCAAACCAGCCCACGAGCGCAAAAACAACATGATCTGGATATTTATTCTCGGTAGGTTCAGCATTTCTTCGGATGACTCTTGTCATATTTACAAACACAACCCGGATGAGATTTCAGTATAACCGTAGTAGCAATATACGTAAAAGCTAAGAAAATTGTCGTGGGCGGCAATTCCCCGTTGGACTGCAGCTCAGAAATGAACTCCTCCCGATTATACACGGTAAAAAACTATAAGTACAGGAGATGTCCAGTGGTGTGCGATGTGTGTCAAAATGCAGGCTTTAGCACTGTTTGTTTTTTGAGCCGCTCATAGGCAGTAGTAAGCAGGTACTGCACAGGTGCCGTGCAGGCCCGTTCTGGATATGCTGAGTGCATACCCTCTGTACTTTTCAGTGATCCACATTTTTTTATTCTTCATTCCCTTATTATGAAATATTCAAATTATTAGTATCACTGACGATATCGTCTTGTTACACATTCTTTGTGTCACTTATTATTCTATCGAAAACCTGACGTTTCGGCCAAATAGCAGATCTGCCCGCCTCACAGCCAAACCAGAGGATGTTTATTTTGTTGGTTGCGTGGCAGTACTTGTTTCAGAGTCAGTGCACCCGCCATGGTTTTTGCCGCTGAATTCAGTCAAGCATGGCCAAGAATAGCGATGAACAGCATAGCCAAGAATTGTTGTGAAAGAGCTGGCTTTCCTTGTCAGCTGGAAGCCTGGAACCGACTGGGCTATCAAGCACAGAGGGAAAAAGACCCGACGGGATGACGCTGATACCTGTCCGCCAGGGCAAACCGCTGGTTTGGGACGTAACAAGCTGGTGTACTGTTGCAGATTCTCACGTTACCGGAAGCTCGAAGAAAGCCGGAAGTGTGGCGCAACTGGCAAAAAATTCCAAACGCCGGACGTACTTGTTTTTGGAATACGGATACCTCTTCTATCCTCTGGTTACTGAGACGCTGGGAGTTTTTGGTCCTGCGTTTAGTGAACTACTGCATTTCATGGGCCGCAAAATTCCGGACTTAACGGGTGAAGCGCGTTCTAATGCTTTCCTCAAGCAGCGTTTTAGTTTAGCTGTCGTCAAAGGGAATGCTACGGCTGTTTGAGTGCCTTGCCTTTCTACTTGAGAGAGGATAGGGATTTTGGCTGTTTTTTTAATGTTTAATTTTTAAAAATTAAGTAGTGTACCAGCGCTTGCAATTATTGTTATTCGGGTGGCTATTGCCAATAAAGTATTGATTCAGTCAAGTGTGGCTGCTGCAGAGGGAATGCATATTTTTATCTTTGAAGTTTGAGCTCTTGGTTCCACCTTTTTGTTATTCTCATCCCGTTTTGTGAATAAAACTTTTCGTTTTCACTTTTCTGGAATAATTTAACGAAAGTGCTATGCGCCCGGAAATTTTCCGGGCGCATAGCAGATTTCCCTGTTGTATTACAGGGAAATCTGCGATATCGCATGTTTTAATTGAGTTTGCTATTTTTGCTAATTGCATTATAATAATTTTGCATTCGAGTTCGCGTTAAGGTTTATTTATTAGGCTGGGTCCGGATGAAAGATTAAAGCAGATGCCATGATAAACGATAAAAAAATCTGAGCGCCAAATGGCCGCACTCTCTAAGCCCTGCGGAGCCCGCAGCACGAGGATCCGATCCTTGACGATATCGTCCCTACCATTGATGACGCAGAGTTACTCTAAAGTAAGTTTACGAATAAGAATTAAACATTAGTTTCAGCGCTTGTGTACTTTAAAAAGTTATATCAGCCTTTAAAAAAAAAGCTTAATTGCTGAATATACATAACTCACATATTATTTGCATTTATTGCATATTTGAGCTCGATGCCTTGATCGCTGGTTCTGAAGCAGCTTGGTAAACTGCTAAAATGCATTTCGGTTATATAGCCAGTTGATTATGTATTCCAGAAATTACTGAAAATTCTGCAACAGCTTTGAAACGATAAGAAAGAAATGGAGGAACATTTAACTTTTGGATGTTGTTTTTTAGCAAGTAACGAAATCGTTAGATTGAAGAGCCGAAAAAACTGCGGGCGGTCGGCAATATTGCAACAGCAACCATCAGAAATGATGCAAATTGTGCAACTGCGTGAAGAGCGAGTTTCTGTATGTCTGCTGTATAGCAAAAACTGTTAAACTTTTTTTTTTTAATATCTGCTTGATTTCTTTTTGCAGTGCATTTGGATGGGCTCGGATGCAACGTGACAAGCGGTGATCGCCTGTATCGTACGATGAATGCGTGGAAGAAGAAGGCCTTCGAAGGTTTCAGAACACCAATTTAAGGATTAGATTAAAGACAATATTGTCAGACGTTTCTTGTTTGGTTGGTAAAAAGTGTTTTTTTGAAGTTTAGTATCAGAGCGCCCAATGACTAGAAAATCAATAAATTCGTGATTTTGGATTGTACCCCAGAGTATCGCTTTTTGTTTTATTTTTCTGCGTGTTTGAAGTTTTTTCAAGGCGGTAATTAATTTGTTGATTTTTGTTTGTTTTTTTACTGATGGAATCCGGGTACGATATCGTAATAAAAGAACTGAATGGCGAACGTTGATTCTCAGACTTTTTAGTGCGCTTCTTGACACGTTTAGCACGTTCAAAGGCCATAGTTGGAGACGTCTTTGTGTATGTCAAAAGCGGCTCCATAAGTATATTGAAACTATTTGTAGCTGCGGCATCTCACCAGTGCACTGCATAGGTAATCCGCAGCACTGTTCAACGTTTAAAAGCTGCTTAAGCGGCGTTAAAAAAGTGCCTACCGTAGAATCGGGCATTGGGTTATTCATGGCGAATTACTTTTAAAGCGGCTGAAACAATAATTAGCACGATTCACAGCAGCTGGCTTGTCCGACATCCGCAAACGCCACGATAAAAGACAAGGATCGTTGTAGTGCAAACCAGAACAATTTCCGGAAAACGTATCATTTTTTTACTTGATTTCATACTCGTACTCACTTTTTTAGGATTTTACCCCCTCATAAAATGGCATAATTGCTTTAAAAAATCCGTTTACTGGTTTCCGCTTTTCCAGTAGTTTCGCTTTTGAGCGATACATATTTCAACCTTATTTCCCAAGCAACAGAATGACTTTTCAAATTAATACTGGTTCAACTGGCGATTGTTTTGCTAATGCATCATTGCCCAACGGCAGCAACACACTGAATGCCTCCGGGGCTTTTCCCCCGGCAAAGCAACCTGAACCGTTTACTTGGGCAATTTGTACCTAATTTTGACCATAATCAGCTGTTCCAGCAACAGTTCCCTCCTATGTCAAATCTCCCCAACTCTGGACACCTTTAACAGCTACATTGTGACCTTGTCAGCACTGGATTCCTCAAGTCCTGCACCAGTAACGTGGCGCACATCAGCAATTACCTGCAGTTCCGCTGGGCGTTCGGTGAATACGGTTGCTTGTTCGTGCTTTACTGCTCGCAAATTGCCAGTGCGTGTATTGTGTCAGCTCACGCCCTCATCAGCATCGACCGGCTGTGGGCGGTGACTTCTCCATTCAGTTACCGTGTGCGGCACATGAGAAACTGGCGGCCACGCTAATCGTGGCGGTGATGGTCGTCATCAATGTGTTGTCGTTGCCAGTATTTCTCCATGACGACAGCCGCGCCCGTGGTGCCACACTCGGAATTTGTGCATTTACAACTTTAGCTATAATTACTTTTACAACGTCCTCTACGCATACATCACGCATCCGTTGCCGCAAGCGCTGGTCACCGTTATCAATCCTGTTGTTGTTTGGAAAGTGAGAAATCTGCGTAAAACCTGTGTTGACACAGTTACACAGGCTGTAAGTGTCATGCCTCGGATTGGTGCGACCACTGTGCCGGTGGGTAGTCCCCACAGAAACGTTTACCTCCAAGACGAAAGCCGTGCTGGGCGTTGGCTGTCGTGAATATACTATTCTCGTTGGACTGTACCCTGAATCCTCCGCTCTGCATGCTGGCTTCCAAGCAGTGGCGTCAAGCACCTGGGCAGTATATTCGCTGCTTACCGCGGAAGCAAAAAAAACCCCTGCAAAACGATGTTTGTAGAAAGCCGTTAAAAATGTTTGCCCAAATGTCACACTTGAGCACCTATTTTGAAATAATATTATGTATTGACTGTTGTAAGAGTATAATATATGTAATAATACATTGTATTGCAATAATAGAATCCTCTGTCATTTTATTCTGTTACGCCATATGCCAAAGCTGAATCTTCTGCTGTATAATATCACCCCGGTCAACTGGAAACAGGCTTGACGCCTAAAAACGTATTCTTAATATTTCATCATCGTGGTCATTTTTTACTTTACCACTTTTCACTAGGCTTAGTTCCTTATTTCGAGGTGGGTTTTTTATTTTAAGGGGTCGCTGTTGATAAAATACAAGAACAATGCCCTTAAAGCGTCTACCGAAATAGCTGGCTTGATACAGCGCTTCCATGGAGCAAAACGCCTTTTCACGTTGGAAAAGGATGCGAGGTCACGAGGCAGCTAAGATTACAATTACCAAAATTCAGAAGCAACATTACTGTTCACTGTGCGCCCAGATCGCAGTTCTGGTTTACTAGAACGTCCCCGACGAACTGAAAACTGATTAGAAGAAGTTTTGCCAGCTTTCAGTAATAACTGCACTGGCATGCTGCGCTCATGTTAAAGTGGTCAGCACAGATGACCACAACATGTTAAGCCAACATTCATTCGCTTTAATACGGTAAATCTACTGTTTTGTGCATTAAAGCGAATTTTACGTAGAATTGCCTCTAACAGTTACAATGCAAGTGAAGATTACGCCGTTTTATCCATAGTTTAGCATTTCAGTGACAATTTAATCATACGACTGCCAGTATACCTTGTTTTACGAAAAAAAGTGCACCCTTGAGCTAACAAACCTACGCTAATAACCAGAAAATGCAGTCTAATTTATTTTGTCAGGTTGAAAGGGGTAGCCTAAACTTAAAGTACTGCTTTTGCCCCTCGCTCCTTGCCGTCTCAGTTTGCCTTTGTCAGCTTTGCCGCCGCGAATACCTTCACCGTCCGAACTTACCGCCGAAAAGCTCTAAAATGGTTGCGTAAAGATACCTTATACCGAGAATGTCTTGTCACTAGGAACGAAATGGAAGTGGACTCCGTTGACTCGGATACGGACGAGCCTGGATTTTCGGCTTCACTTATTAGCATTTTCACTGTTATGTTAACAGTAAGAAAATTATTAACTATTATTCAAACGTTCCATTTGAACCACGCTTATCGTGCAAACAATCTAGTCATTTTGCTGTTGCCGTTCTTACTGTTATTCTGACAGTAAGATAAGCGGGATTATTTGGAATCTGTGATTAATAATTATTAATTTTCTTCCGCCATTTCTGTATATGACAGTGTTCTGTAGGCTATAAAGTGCGAATCACCGCTATTTCTGACCGACTCAAAATTGAATAATTTTTGTGCCGGTACAATCAATGTAAAGCTGTTGAAAACCCAAAATTTAGACGAAGTAACGGCGTCGATGGTACCGTTCGGTCAGTCTTAATTTCGCATCAGACTGAAGGTGAAAATGCAATTAAAAAAAGTATTAAAGCAAAGTAAAACAGCGGCAACCAACAGATTTCTGCATTATTGCGAGTCCGTTCTTTTTTAGAGAAACAGGGTGCTGAACATTCCTATTTTCTGGTTCCGTAAAGTTCGTTCACTTACAATCAGGCTATGGTGAAATGAAAAAGGCAACGCTTTTGTATATAATAGTTTAAATGCGAGCGCTCAGTAGCGTTGTTAACGGTGCGATGCGGTGTACACCGGTGTGCCGTCGGTGCGGTTTTTTGCAAGAAATCGCACTTACCTTACCGGTGTAAAGCGAAAACCGCACCGGACGGTGCGGTGAAAAATAAAAATCGCACCGCAATTTTTCACACCGCACCGCACCGGTTTATACCGGTGTAGCGCACTTTAGTTGCCCAAGAACAACAAATTACCGACTTTATTACTTATCAATTTCCAGAACTTCTTGACACTACTAGCGCTAAGCCTTCTAAGGGCATCGCTAATAGGATGTATCTAGTCGTAGCAAAACTGTCACGACGTAAAATATCGAAAACAAATTCTCTAAGAGTTTTGTGACGAAAACAGACTCAATGTAGAGCGTGGAAAATCAAGCCGCCATATTGTTTGCGCAGCAATGCTACATTTTCGTTTTTATGGCAACCCGGTTGCTGCAGCAGCTACAAGTTGAAACTAGGGAGTAGGGAGTGTGAGTGAGCACTGTACGATTTAGACGTACGATCGTCACAGCCCGTGCTTCCCGTGGGCGTGAGCACAGCGTGCAGCGTCATCGCATAATAAAGTATTATTAATTTATGATAATTATGAATTTAAGAATATCGTCGATTAACCGGTGTGCGTCAACGCGGTTTCCCCAACGCACCGGTGTGCGCCGGTGCGGTTTTTCTCAAAAACCGCACCGCCTGTACCAATTTATTTTTCAAAATCGCACCGCAATTTTTTCATATTGCACCGGTGCACTGGTAAAAAACCGCACCGTTAACAATCTTAGCGAGCAGCCTTATAATGAAAGGTTAGATACGGTAAAGTATTGACGGTGATTCAGTAATTTACGGTAAGACACCGGTAAAGGCTTTTGCAACGGCGTCTTTCGATGGTAATTTGGGACAGTAAAGGTATCCATGGCGGCAAAGACAAAGGTAAAGGTGACAATGGCAAACTAAAATGGGCGGCGAATGTGCTGTCAGGCAGTTTTACGGATTAACGGAATATGCTGGTACTGTAGTTAATTTTACGGGTTAGCCAGTAACCGGTACTACTTGGTACACTAAAATACTAAAACTAAACAAAAAAATAAAAAAAGTACTGAAATAAAAACTCACTAAAATTACTAAAATTTTGTAATCGGTTAGCGACGTTAGCGCAGTACTCACACCTCACATTCTATCGTTCTAGTAAATCAAATTTAATTGTGTGACGCTGTATTAATTTATTCCTAAAGCCAATACCAGCTTTTGTTATTTGATACAAACAGTTTCTCAATGCTGTAAAAAATTATTTTGCAATATTACTTACTCTTATGCTATTTCTAATTGGTTTTTCGTAATTACTTGGTAGCTGGTAATTTGCATGAAAATATCAAACAGTGGCTGACTTCCCGAAATCCTTTTATTCGGTTTATTATAAGCCAAGCGAAAATAATATCACTGCAACAATAGGAAAACAAATGAAAACATGCTGTTGCTTCAGAGAATATGAGGAAACATGTACTTTTCCAAGTCCACTGACAGTCCACCGTCCAAACAGCAACTGCTCTCACTCGTCCGACCTCCAGTTCTATGACGAGTAGAAGTATAGCAGACCATGTGCGGAATGTCTAAGGAAATTAGAACAGGAAATTGGAAATTAAATGGGCTAAACCAGCAGATGGAATTGTCTGGGTTCACTGATTCTTTTGATGGTTTTTCTTTGTAAATGTTTATCGTGGAAGTTTCCGATGATCCACCCGGTGCATACGATCAATATTTCCTCATTTTATCTCTAGCTTACGACGAACTGCACAATATTACCGCAAAATTCAAGCAAATTCAATTTTACCGCATTCAATGCACCACTTTATGTAATACGTACATACAAATTTCTGTGTAATTAAGACATTCTTACCTAGCGCTGCCTTACTTCTCTGCTGTCCCATAAAAAAAATTAATAGAATTCCTTCGACGCGGGTTTAAGGCTTAGTGTCGTTAAACCCAGTTAGTTAATCATCCAAGTAATAATGATGAGGAGCATCATATACATAATGCAGCAGCATAATTTAAGCCGTAGAACTCTCCTCTACACGAAATCCAACTGTATGCCGTCACGCGAAAGGTCATTCATCACAAGCTGCATTGCATACAACTGCTTACTTGCGGATATTCTTCAATGCCGCTGTACAAAAACAGTACGCACGTCGGAGACAATGCTGGTGGACAGCAACGGATCCAGGATAGACTGGATGATCCACAAAACATCCAAGGCGCCCACGACGTCATCATTTACCGTCACACCCCCGATCTGCAGCAACTGGCACACCTGGTAGGGCGTCCATGTGACAACCAAACTGCAGGTCAACAGGGTGAGGATGAAAAAGGCTCGGCTATTTTGCCGACGCGTCTTCTTCAGCGCTGCAGGAGCCTCACCGCTGGTTCCATTATCTGTCGGGCGTGACTGTAGTTCGATTTCCGGTGCATCAGGACGCGTTTTCAGACGCATCCGCTGTCTGACTACCAGGCAGACGTAGGATCCGGCCACAAAGGCAATTGGAGCCAGAAACAAGAAGGTCTGCACCATCAGCTGCCAGGGTCGTTGGGCGTCGCCATTGACTTCGCATTCTCTCCCCATTATTCGGAAGAAAAGGGAATCCCGGACGAGACCAGGCAAAATCCATGCATGCACGTAAATGAAGGCGCCAGTCGTCAAAACAAAGCTGGTGGTCATCGTGTGCCGGTGGCGGTAGTTGTAGGGAAAGATCATCGCCCATAGCCGGTTCACTGTGATGAGAAGGTGGGCATGCATCTCCCAGCCGGCAAAAACGTAGTTGCAGTACAAGAAAAAATCACAGGCTGCCCACGAGAGCGTCCACCGATCGCAAGAGAGCTCGAAGAGGATGTCCAGTGGATTCTCCAGGATGGCCATGGCCAGGTTTGCTAGGAGAAGGTTGGCTATGTATGGTTTGAATGAACCACTGATTGCGGTGGTGCGGTAAAGGCTGGCGAGGCCGGCGGTATTGCAAACAATCACTAATACCATGGCAGCGATCTCTATGGCAGCCAGTGGATCGCCCCAGTAACTGTAATGGAGGCAGGCATAGTCCAGGCTGCTGTTATCGGTGGCGTTTGACCAATGCGCACCACTCGTTGTAGCATTATTACAGCTTCGGTCATCCATTAGTCATCTGTTCTTCTACTCTTTTCACGTCGCATTAAAATTGAGGTTTTTCTTATTCTTATGTCAAGAGCAGGAATGCCGGGTAGCAAGCCATAAATGCAGGTCTCAATACTGCTACTTGTATACACTTACCCAGCTAATTTGACATTCTCCAGTTTCCTGGCAGAGCTAGGTTAGGCATACCTGGAAACCGCGGAGTGCCACCTAACCAGATACGGCAAACCGCTGTTAATTGGTCTCCCGGTGATAAATTGAATGACTGCGTTAATACTTAACGCATTGCTACCGCAACTCACCGGTCACGGTGTACAGCTTTGTCACGGAATAATTGGCATCCAGACTGGATTTAATAAGCGGGACAAGACGGGTTTAGCGCAAGCAGAAATATGAGATTATTTTTGGGAAACCGGATATTCGTTAGTAGGTGCCGGAAGGGTGCAAGAAGGTGCCGGATGCGCCTGCTTTGGATTTCCGAACGGCCAGTGCAAGTAACAACCTTCGTCAACGTACTTCCGCAGCCTAGTCAAAAATGCACCGCAACGGCTCAAAAACCGAGTTTGCCCGGTCAGATGATGTTTGATGAATGTAGGTCATGTTATTTAGCCCGCTTCCGGTGAAGGAAACATATCTACTTAACATGGGATTCTAAACCCGTCTAAGGACAATATTGCAAACATTATTAAAACACCCAGTTCAGCGTAGAACTGACTTGCGTCTTTAGGACACAAGCAACATTCTATGCAAAAACTTAAAAAAGATATCTTATCCATCGGCAATTTCGCACCCGTACAATTGGGAGTGTGACATTTTCGCACTCAAGTTCGATGCGGGACTTTTTGTCGCGAAGACAGTCGGCGCGGACATGTGGATTGTGGGTTGAGGTATTTAGCTTGAGAATTTTCACTTGCAACATTTCGCCGCAAGACAAATGTGCGCTTAGTGGGCAGCTGGACACTGGATTTTAGTTTTAGTGTTTTACTCAGGTACTGATGCGGACGCGTTTGCGTTCAGGTTCCGGGTTCATTGACTATACTAATACGACACAAACAAAGCCCCGATAGGCCACATTTGCAATAAGATCCGCTGCTAATGGAAGCTAATCTGTGGCGCCGTTACTGCCTGGGCAAGGAGAATACCGGTATCCGGCCGGGATGGTGGGAAATTAGCTGTCTCCAAAATTACAAGAAACTGGATTAAAATGCAGACTTAGACACACACCACTGGAGAAACTGCGCTGCGACCACCCAAAGGCATTCTGTGTTGCCAAAGGCACACTTATTACTCTGTATTTGTATAATATGTAATACCTACTCTAGTCAGTAAAAACGTCAGCCGGGGTTAACTGAATAGTACGGTTGCTTGGCGTTCTTTTTTTCGCGCAAGGCGGCGCAGCTATCTGTACACAGACTTTGTTCACTTGCATTCAGTACCATTTCAACCAAATTCAATGAATACTGTATCAATGAATATTATATTCAATGAATATTATACTGATTCTGTTCCAGGTATTTCTGCAATATCTCACGGGGAGGGGGCTATGGTAGCGCAGTGTTTGGCAAATTTGGGTGTAAAAGATGTACGTTGTGTAAATGATAAATAGGTACTTATGGGAAACTCAGAGATAAGTATATTTCAACATAGTACTTTCGGTTTATCGGTCTTAAAGTACTAAACATACTTCAAGACGGCCTCTGAGAAAAGCAGATATATTGCTGTTTGAAAATCACTGTTTGCAGTTTCGGGAAGAGCGAAAATGTTATAAGTTATGTTTGTTACGTATTACTTTTGCTGTCTAATTTTACAGTAATACAGTAGCAAAATACCGTTCTGCTCTCGCCCGGCGCCCAAATATAGCAGTGTCCCGAGGCAACTTTCCTTCTTGAAATAAAGGTTCAGTGGTGTAAGATAATAATCGTATCGATCGCGGTATCGTTCCCGGTATCTGATGCGGACTGATATAACCGTGCTCGTATTTTATAGAAAGTTTAGCAATATCTCTCCTGCATATTGTTGCGGACGCAAATGCTTCACTGGTCACGGAAGGAAATACGATAACTGATCCGGGAAACGTTATATTAGTGTTTCATTACTTACTACCGCTAGAATGCAAAATCATCGAAAACTACACTGTCGGGTAATCAAGCAGTTTTCCTTGAAGTGACCTTCCATGCCTGAGCGCATTAATTTATGTTTATTGCAAGGGAATGTCGCGATCAGAACACATATCAGCCTAATTATTATCACTTATACCGTGGCTACGTATCCCATATCGTGAAGCCGCTGCCGGCTGGCTCGAGTTAATTGTAGTGGTTCCGAAATCGGCGCTGGAGCGCGCCATAGCGCGCCATAGCGCGTGCGCGATCTAACAAGCGTTAATGAGCGTAAAACAGTCAAAATAGACAAACAGTATTCGTGCAGTTCTCAGGAAATCAGCATGCAGTCTGCACTACTACACAAATAAATACCTGGTGTCACGGCTGTATTACCCGTTTCTTTAGCACACCTGGGAAACACTGTAGTTCCTACGCCATTACAGTGACTTTCCTGATGGCAGGAAGAAGTGAAACGTGTGAAGTCCACGCACAACTTCTTTTACTCGAAAATAAAAATGAACAATTCCACCCGCACGCTTACTGTGTTTGGAATATCAGTTGAGTCACCCTTACGGGGTTACTTTACATACATCCAGTGGCTGATGTTGACGGCCAGCATTTTTGCTATACTGGGCAACACTGTGGTCTTGGCTTCATACTGTCGCAATCGAAACCTGCGAACATCTTTTGGCATTTACGTGATGAGCCTGCTGAGTGCTAATATATTAAGTGCTTTATTATCACAAAATCCATTCCTGTTCGCTATTAAATACCTGTTACCAGAGCGGTCGCATGGAGTATTTTGTGTCCTTTACCGCTTTGTGCTGTCTCTGCTCGGTCCAACGCTCCCATTAGCCCATATGCTTATTGTGGTCAACCGCTTCTGGGCTATCCAGTGGCCATTTGCCTACCGAAGATATCATACGAGAAGCTTTGCTGTTGGAATTTGTGCTGGTAGTTGGATGATGATCTTGGTTTACATTGTGCCGGCCATTACGGTCGATAGCGTACTTCGACTGGAAAAACTGGACAGCGCCAACTGTGGATTTTCCATAAGCTGGCATGGCCAACCGGAGTGGCTGTTGCCCTATAATATCATCATCTTCTACGGTTTGCCTGAACTGACGATCGTTGTGGGCTATATATACTTTTGCTGCAAACACTGGAAAAACAAGCAACGTAACGTACTGCCGTTCCATGGAGCGGTCACCGCGGCGGCTGATTACGCCGTTTCGGCACAAAAAGTTAAGTCATCGTTTCCCGTTTTGTCGGCCATCACGTGGAGTTTTGTTATATGCTGGTCGCCAAGTAATTTGTATTTTATCTTTGACCTCATGTCTGAGAATATTCAGTTTTACCAGATTGGTAAAATCTTGAAAGTAGTACATGCTGGCTTAGATCCTATATTATTTGTCTACGCCCTTAAGAACGTTCGCCACGACCTACGGAGCGCTGCGGGATTTTTATTATCTCGCTAGCGCGGATGCTGAAAGCGTCCTGGTTATGGTAACGTTGCCGTACACGGTTCACTAACGATTTTTCCGTATGGGATTGGAATTTTTTAAGTCTTTAGTTCTCCAAAATCTTTTAACTCTAGATTCTTTCCATCAATAAAAATGACTTCTTTGGCCCAGGTACAGCACCTATAGATGAACGTTCGTTTTTAAGTCAGATCAAAAGCTACGAAGATGAGAACCACAACTGAAATGAATGTTTGTTTTGGACTCCATCAGAAGTACCGCGCGGTCCGCAATACATATAGTGGACTGTAACCCAGAATTTTTGATACTTGTATAGAGAAACATTTTGTTTCATTCAATCAGAATGAAGCAGAACAGACACATATGTCACGCTTCTTTTTTTTCCTGAAGGCACTGCCGACTCATGATCGAAAAACTCAATCTTTATACTCATACAACCTTAACGTCTAGACTTTATTTCGGAGGATGAGAACAGCAGTCAGCAATGCACCGGTCATACTTAAATCGTCAGTGATTTATGAAGGAGGGGCGCTTTCAAAATTAGTATCAAATATAATTAAGTATACACCATGTGCAGCATCAAATTCCCAGATGAAATCATGAAAATGCAAACAAGTGTTTTATTTTCGTACATAGATTATTTGTAAGAAACATGCAATGCGGGTCTGACTTGAATTTAACGGGTGAAACGAACAAGTCGATCGCATAAACGCGCAATTAAAAAATAAATAATGTTATGTGTAGCCTTCCACTTCTCACAGCACAAAATACGTGCGATAAAAACAACTTGCACAGGGGAAACTTACAAGAACTTGCGCATAGGAGCCCATAAAATCGTCAGCCTTTGATGATTCAGTCATACTATATTCATGTACATAAATTACGTTTAATGTAGGTACCCGAAATCCACACAGCTTTGTCGGCGTTGTCGTAGATAACCCGATTTCGGACATCCGTACTTTCCATCTGGAGCGTCCTCTGACGGCCTCCTGTGATTTCTGTCGAACGGTACGGCAGATTGTAAGCCATTATAACCGGCGCTTGTAAGCTATCATTTCGAGTTCATTTTATATAGAACGTTCCAATATTCTTGGAATATTGCAAAATAACGCATCCCAACCGGTTTATTGTTATTTCACACCCACAACTCAATGTTCCCACGCGCTAGCTATGGTCTGTATTGTAGCAATAGACGTTGTACATCCATAAGACCCCCCAGTTACGATTCATCATTACGTTATGAATTTCGTTTATTTTACAGCCTAGCTTTCCTTCTCATGAAATTTCTAGAATTCAGTCTTGTACTCAGCTTGCTACAGCCTGCATCAGCTCGACCAGCTTGTTCACCTGGTTAAACTCTTGACCAAACCTTGCTTCCTCTCTTGCACTGTTATTGTCATTAAACATGCCGCGAACTATCGTTGTT